TGGAGAGTCTGTCTCTTGTTTAGTACCCCCGAACTCCCTTTTCTTTTCACATTCTCTTTGATAGTTAGAAAAGAAAAAGCACGAGAAGGAAGAGAAGAAAAGTAAAAGTTGTAGGCCTTCAGCCTAGGGCTCTCCTTTTTAAACAAAGATTCAGCCGTGGTCTCGAAGATGGCGCCCTTTCTCAGTCTCTTTTTCTATTCTTTTTTTTTTTTCAAGCTGTAATAATTTACCCAGGCAAGGAGGAATTCAATTGAAATCCATTTTCTTTCTAGTAAGCTAGGGCTTAGTAAGCAAATCAAAGGAGTCGTCAAGCTGGGGCAAGTCAAGTTAGTTTTTAGCAGTCTCTCAAAGCAGTCTCAGCGAGGCGCTAGGTAAAAGGCAGCTAGGGCTCAAGTTTAGTTTCTTAGCACAGACAGAAAAGGTTAGGGCAGCTGGGGAATTAGTTGAAGTTCAAGCATCTCTTGTTTGTAAAAGGATAATCTCTTCCAGTCTATCCAATTGCATAAGGACATCCGGTTCTGGCATCGAATGGGAGTTCTCTTTATTTTTGGCTCTTCCAACTTTAGAGTTTCCTAATATGTGTTTAAGAAGTCCCTAATCTATTCTATCAGTACTACTAGCGAGCTAACATGCTAACAGTAGTTAAAAACTGGTCTTTAGCGGACAGAAAAAAGGGAGCAGACGAGTTAGCAGTTCTCACATTACAGACTTTCTCGGACCGAGATAATTCATAAATCTTGCTTGTGGCACCTGACTAAGAGGCCAGGAAGGAAGAAGCATTTCAAGGCAAGACCTAAGAGAAAGGAGGTCTTATCGAGCTCGATTATTTATTTTATTATTTTTCTGCCATCTGCAAATAGGGTATAGTAAAAGCGAACTCCTAAAGCAAAGGGAAAAGCAAGCAGTCTCTTTTCTTTTTATTTTATACCTCCCATTCATGTTCTCATTCAATATAGGCACATGGATTCTTTAGCGAGAATGGCATAAGAAGTAAGTTCCAGGCGAGGAAGGTACTTTCTACAGGTACTCGTTCTTCAAGCTATCCCGCGCATCAAAGCCTCTTTCTTATGTCAGGACTGACCGCTACTACTACTTCCACTACTATAGATCCTTTCTCTTCCCTTAGGATTCTTTCATTCGCCGACTAGAGAGCATGCCACTTTGTGCAATTTCTTTATTTGGCACTGTAGCTGCACTTTAGTTAGTGCCTTGGCTAAGTCCCCTCGCTCTTTCATTCCGGTAGGAAAGCCAATGTCTTTCTTTCTGCCCTTTCCTCAGTCTGTGACTGTTTGAGGAGTATTGCCGTGCAATCCCATCTCCAACTGATAAAACCTAAGATAGTAATCAGCCCTAACAGCAGGACTGGACTCTACAGATACAGATGGGAAATTAATCTAAGGTTT